CAGCCCTAAAGATTTTGTCACTTGTTTCCTTTTTTGGGCCTTTGCCATGCATCTATTTGTGGGTTTGGGGGGTCTAGGCACTGACCCCAACAATTGGTGCCTGAATAGGGACTCTACAGTGGAGATGTCTGCTGTGGAGTGTTACTTACCTTTGCTGTGTTCCTGGGGCAGAAAATGGCCCTGAAAGCATGTCTATTTTATTTTGTTTGGAAATTCCTTTCATTTTCTTTGAAAAAAAAATTCCTTCACCAGGTAAGTCATGGGGATTTCTGTGTCTGAAGTGCAACAGAAACATAATTCAGAACTGCTTTTCCTTAGGAATGTGGGCCATGTTTGGTGCAACTCTTGTGGTCTATTTATGATAATTGTCCTTGGTATTCTGAGGTTGGTGTGGTCACTATGGCAGATTGGGAAAAGTATATATAAATTGCTGCATTGAGGACCTTGAGCTCTGATCTCTGTCTTGCACTTGGTATCTTTGCTGGGATGTGGTGACATTTGGCAGGCAGGTACATGGAACATCGCACCGTTGGCTTCCCAGTTTTCCTGGATGCCTCACTTATACTGCTTCTCCACCTCCTCTTGCTGCTGCCTCCACAAGATGCAAACCCCATAAAACCTCTGGGCAACTCTTCACCTGTTTGACCTCCCAGGCCAAAGATGGCCCAAGAAGCTAAACAACATGGGGAATTAATTGCTTGACCTGTTTTATATCAACAGGAAAAGAGCCCCACTTTGAAAGTTTGCAGTACTCTATTTAAAGAGTTAAAAGGGGCAAGGGATAATCTCAGTGGCCTAAGTGGCTGCCTGACACCCACAAGGTTGTGAGCTCAATTCCATGTTCCAAAAAAGAAAAACAAAGATAAAGAATTTAAAATGGCTAAGGAATATGGACTAAAAGTACTTTTATAATTGGCATTATTGAGGGTATTGTTCATGGTTTTGAAATGACCCCTTTGGAGTGGAAAGTCTCAGTGCATACTATTTTCACCCCAACCCAACATCAGGTGTGGCTCTAAGAACATACTGGTGCTGTAAACATGCAAGCTATAAATAATTTTGATTACTATATTCCTGTAGGAGCTGCTGAATTATGGGGGGAGAGAGATTTTTCAGATGTTTGCCAACAAGTTCATTACCACCATCAGGTTATTATTCTCAAATGGCTCAAATTGCTTTAAAACCTTGAAAAGAATCCCTTAAGCAGAGGGTTACAAGATTCCTTTAGTAATATTAAACAGGAGGCCACTGAACCTTGCCTTGCCTTCATAGAAAGACTATATAAAGCTATTGAATGCCAGGTGAACAACACAGCAGCAGCCTCTATCTTGTTAAAGCAATTAACATACAAAAATGCAAACCAAGACTACAAAAATGCTTTAAAGATGTTTCTGCGAAACCTGACCCTAGCTTGGAATTCCCTGATATGTTTTAGAAGTTTTGTACTACTTTTCATGATCCTTTACCTCCTGGGACAGTTGGCCTAGTTCTTTCCTGTTCACATGCATCAAAAAGAAGCACTTCTGTGATTCCTGGCCTCATTGATGCTGATTATGTGGGCATATTGTTGCTTCAGTTGTGTTCTCTCTTACACATTCTACTAATTTTTTTGAATCTGTAGCCCAACTAATTGTCTTGCCTTGTCTCCTCTAAAACTTGTGATGTTACTCATGGAAATTAAGCATTTGGCTCTACATTGGAGGCTACTGCCTATCCCCTGGGAGATGAATGCTGAAGCCTCGCTTTAACTATTCAGGTTTGCTACACACTGGAGCTAATGGAAATGCTTTATTTCTTGTTGTCCGTGCTGTTATGTCTCATCTCTTGAGGATGTACTGGAACACCTATAGGCCTTGGAATTGATTTAATCAATACTGTCTTACCACTTACCAAGGCTGACTTTTCCTCTTTGCTGTCCTCTGCGGTTCCCTCTGCAAGATGCAGAGCTGGGAATTTAGCTCAGTGGCATGAGTGCCTGCCTTGCAAGTGCAGTCATGAGTTCAATCCTTGGTACAAAAAAAAAAAAAAAAAAAAAAAGCAAAGCCTCTGCAAGTGGCTTTGGCTGTCTATGTTGGTTCTATTTTTATTGATATGCCCCTTGATCATTGTTTGTCTCTAATTACCCTACTTTCCTTTTCTCTTCAGACGTACTTGGTTAGTACCCATTTAAATAGTGCCCTCACTGTCTTCACTGATGGACGCCCCAATCATGAAGCTGTAACATATTTTGTTTATAATACTTGGAAACACCTGTATTCACTACCACAAACCTCTTGTCAATGTAATGAGCTGTCTGTGTTATCCTTGCTTTGCAAATTTTTTCATCCCAAGTCCTTAACTTAGTTACTGACATTTTATATGTACTTAATGCCAACCCACATTTATCTTCTCTTGTTATCTTTCCTGTAGCAATAGACTCACACTCAATGTCTCTTTTTTACATCTACAGGCTCCTCTTGCCTTCACCATGCACCTCTTTTTCTTTTACATGTAGTTAGTCATTAACCCCTACCTGGCATTTTATATGATAATGTTATTTCTGATCAAGTACTGCATATTCTGTTCCCTCTTTTTTTGGGCAGAGTCTTTTTGACATAGTGCCTCTATATGCAGTTCAGGCTGACCTTGAAGTTACTTTGTAGTCTACACTCATTTGATAACACTAAAGAATGTCCTGCCTTTTTGCACCAATCAGCTTCTTCCTTGCACAAATTGTTTCATATTCCACCTTCTGAAGCTAGAGCTTTTATTTCCACAGGTTTCCATTGTGCTGCCATGTCTCACCCTTTTCCCTGTGATGCTGTCAACTCTCTCGTGGCCTCTATTCCAGTGAACTTTGGTAAACATGCCACACACTGTTCCTCCTTAAATCTTTTTTCATTTCTTTATGTTTCTGTTGATACATTTTCTGGTTTTATTTGTGCTTCGCCGTTGCATGGTGAATCTGCTTCACATGTAATTTGACACCTCCAGGCTGTATTTGCAGTCATGGTTGTATCTTCCTTCATTAAAACTGACAACAGTACAGCCTATACCTCACAGGGTTTGCTTCCTTTTGTTCCACATGGAACATATGTCATGTAACTTGTATCCACTATAATGTCACTGACCAAGCAATCACTTAACAAGCTCATATCCTCAAATCTCTTCTCTTGAAACAAAGGAGAATAGTGCACTTCCTGCACAGGTTGTTACTATTCTTGTGTCCATGGTGCTATTTACTATAAGTGACTTCTCTTTCCCAGCAAGTCTTTCTTCTTCCGTCATTCAAATAGGTGTTTACCAGGATATATCTCTGACAAAGCCTTTTGTATTATTCAAAACAACTTCAGACTCAAGTGGGCAGGGGCTGGTGGCCCTGCTGATCTGGGGAAGAGGGGATGTTTCTGTGTTATTGCCAAGACCTTGTGTGGATTCCAGATCATTGTGTTTGCCCTGCATAGAATGAGTTGGCACCACAGGATACACAACATAATTCCACCATTTCACCTCTCCCTGAATCAAGTCTTGGATCCTTTTATACAGGCTCTCAGCTAGTTGGTCTATAAAAAATTCAACTGGTTGATTTATAGTTGTAGACTCTAACTTTGTAAGAAGGTATTGTAAATGGGCTTAAGGATATGCTCAAGTGCACTCTGATTTTCTGAGATGTTTGTCAGTCTGTCCATATATCAGTTGTCTATTTGTTTAGTTTGTTTGTAAGCAGTTGCTGGGAGTTGCTGAGCTAGTGATTGTTCAAACCTGTAAAGCAGAAAGCAAAAATGCCCATACAGGAGTGCTCATGTGGCCCAGAAAATCTGGGAAAGACCCTGAGTGCTGGAGGTGTACAGGTGTTCCAGCACTGGGAGCACAGGGAGTAAGAGATGAGCTAGTTTAACAAAGGGGTATGGTACAAGTATACAAATGGCCTATGAGGAACATAAAGAGATCTCACTGACCCCCCCATAAGCTCTGTGCTTATTTCTGTGTTTGTCTGAATCTGCACAGATTGTCTGTCTAGGTTTATCAACTTGTCCACTCTGTAAAAAGCTGTTCCTTTCATTTTGTGCTCAGTAATCTTTCTCTTTTTCCATATCTGGATCACATAATCAAAGATTTATTTGTTTACTAATTTATAAAGTATGCTTTTACCTTGGTTGGCCGCTCATCCAAATGTCACAAAGACTGGGTATATGAATGGAATATGTTGTTATTTATCATTGACTTGATAGTCTCATTATTTAGAAATTATATTGTTAAGATGAATAAACAAAGTCAGTCCCTTAGGACTGAGATTTCTGGGCAGGGCTCTGATTGATAAATCAGAAATCAGCTGCCTGGTAACATTTTAAACCAGTGCTTGTTTATTGTTCAGAGACCTCAATATTCTCCATAGCTTTATAGGAGACACTTTAGCTAAAGTTGTGAAATGTATTCCTAAATGTTCACATTGGTCATTATCAAAATAAGTAATACATTTTTTGCATTGAAGATGCCTTTGTAAAGGTTTCACATGGTTATGACAGTTGACTGTTATCAAATTCAACATGTATTAGATATATTCATATTTCTGGAGGCATAGGCCTCCAAGATAGTAAAATGTAGATTTCTTATAGTAGCAGACTTTTGTTTCATGTTCATACCCCTGCTAATATGAAAGACTTGTGAGATTCACATTCCACTAAAGGTCAATAAGTTTGTCAATAATACACAAGAAGCTTCTTGTGCATTAGATAAGTGTGACTGACTAAAATGGATATTTTATGTCAAAAGACAAATTCAGATTATTGCAAGGATGTCATAATATAATAATATGTATGGTTCTCATTCCTGATTTACGATGTAAAATATGTCACTGTTAGCATTAAAGGTATTCAAATGTTAAAATGTCCATAGGTAGTACAAAATATATTTCATTTAGTGTGCTAAGGTTTTCCATGTTTAGATAAAATAGTAATGTTAAGCTTACTGCCTCTAATATACTGTATTGTTATCAATCTTTTCTTCTGGATGTCCATCAGCCAAGGTCTAGAGACCAAAAATGAGAGACACAGATGGCCTAAATGGATACTCAATATTTTGGCCCCAGCAATTCAAGCTTGGAGGAGACCCAGGATGTAAAAGAAATTCTGCTTGCATCATCAGAAGATACTCAGTGAGTACCTCGTATTCTGATCAGGAAGATGATGAGACCAAAGAAGAAAGTGAACTTTGATGCAAGGTATGCCTAAGGAGAGTCACGAGTCACCAGAAAAATCTCCAAAGCTTTCACAGAAATCGACATGGTCAAGCAATGTCCATGACTCCTCCAGGTGGCTGACACTGACAGAAGAGATATGAGGAGCTATGCATGGCTATAAGATTGTTCTTCAAGAGACCTAACTGGCCTTGATAGGATGTAAAGAACCAATTGTCCTTAGCGCAGTCCTTATGTTAGCTTGGTCTTGAACCTTTTGCAGAAAAGTCTGGCCTCTGGAGGTACAGTGCAATGTAAAACATTGTCTGTGTGTGAATCTCAGTTCATTAACATCCTCTGACAATTGCTGGCTATGCTGGTAACTGACTACCATTATGAATGGATGGACTATGCAGTGGTAGAAGCTCTAAAATAGCTTCTCCATCTTCAGCTGGTCACCCATCTGTGTATCAACCAAACAAAAAAGAGGTATATGTTGGAGCCACTGAAACTGAATACTCATGCAGGGCTGTGATGTGGCACAGGCATGATTGAACTGAGAATGAAGAGATGCCTCAGGGGACAAGATAGGCCACAGCTGAGGCCACCTAGACACTTTCTGTGGGATAGTTCTCTGCAGTTAGCATCATCTGTTGCTCTGAGAGTGTCTTGAACCTCTCCCAAGATTCTTATCAGGTTTCCTCCATTGTCCACTCAACTCCTGCCAGCATGAGTTGGACAGCTGGCTAGCAGAGTGATGAGCTCTGTCAAGGATCTCTCTCCTCCTGCAGCTCTGAAGACCATGCTGTGTTTCTCATTTCTTAGGGCCTTTTTGGTACACCATTTTGGCGTCTTGGTGTCTAGGAAAAGACCCCAGCATGAAACATAAAATGTATCTATTTTAAAGACTCAGCACTGAAATCTGGTATTGTTGGGTGATGACAGGACCAAGTATCAAATTGTTTAAGACAATTCAGGTATACAGAAGCTGTTCTTTCCACTGTATTTTTTTGGCTCACCAATGCCAAATCCTCTTACATGACACAACTTTCCTCAAGACATTTCCACTCCAATCAATGACCTACATATGAATTATTTTCTGTAGGACATACACATAGATATGCAGGTTTTATGATATGTCTCCACCAAGTCATCCTGATGAAAATATTAATAATCCAGAGCCATCCTGGGCCTGAGGGGAGAAATAGAAAGCTAATTTTTCCTTCCTGTGAGCTAGTGGAAGTCATATGGGGAATGGTAGGGGAAACTAGCCAATGTGCCCATGTTGTGATTCTGTGGAAGCTATTCTAGTTCTCCAAAGAAAAGCAAGAAAGTAACTTACACTTCCTATGATCTAACCCCTGCATTGGCTTGGAGAGGAGCACCACAATCACCTCCTCTCACCACCAACCATCTTATTGGTTTAGAGGACATGCTGAATTGATAGCAATTGAGGTATAACAACAACTTAATCCTTGTATTACTTGATTGACTTTGCAGCCTAAAGCTAGTATTCTTAAGCATGTGTTTAAATTGGGAAATAATGGTAAAAGAAGTTGCAAAACTTCATGAGTATATGGAACTTAAATAACAGTCTCCTAAACAACCAATGGGTAACAGATGAAATAAAGGATGAAACTTAAAAATACCTACAACCTAACAAGAATATAGATGCAAAATTCTGTACCTTATGGGATTCAATAAAAGCAGTCCAAATAGGGAAATTTATAGTAGTCAAATCTCACATTAGGAAATAGAAAGAACATAAACAAATAATGAAATGTTGCATCTCAGTCTTCCAGAAGAAGAATGGCAAGACAAACACAAATCCCATACAAGGGAGGAAATTATAAGACCAGACAAGAAATTTATGCAATGCAGAACAAGAAACCAATTCAAAGAATTAATGAATCAAAGAGGTGATTCACTGAAATAATAAACAAAATTGATAAACCCTTGGACAACCATATCAAAAAAGAGAAAAATAAAGACTGAAAACCATGCATTGAGGAATCAGAAGAATAAAATAACTACAGATCCTGTGAAAATTCAGAAGATCATCAGTACCTACTTCAAAAGCTTATACTTTCATAGGTTAGAAAATATAGAAATGCACTGATTCCTAGATACATATGAAATGCCAAGTCTGATTTAAGAAGATATAAATAGAGAAAACACAGTATCAGTTAATGACAATGAAGATCTAGTTAAAAATTTATCAGCTTCTGGGCATGGTGATGCATTCCTGTAATCCCAGAACTTGGGAGGCTGAGGTACAAGGCTTGTTGTGAGTTCAAGACTAAACAACGCTACAAAATGAGCTCATGGCCAACCTAAACTGAATAATGAGTGCCTGTCTCACGAGCACTTTTTAAAAAAAAAGAAAAACAATGACAACAGAAAAGCAAATGACCAACATAAAAAGTTTAGGTCCTGAGGGATTTACTGCTGAATTCGACAAGAAATGTAGAAAAAAATTTAAGGCCACTGCTGTTTAATGATATGGAAAGAGAAGCTGTTCTCCCTAACTCATTCCTGGGAGGCAAGTATTACCCTGATACTAACACCAGAGAAAGACCCAACCAGAAAAATAAAACTGTAGGACAGTTTTCCTAATGAACATAGATGCAAAAATCCTTAACACGATACTAGCAAAATGAATGTAGCAAATCATCAAGAAGATTTGAAAACCTGACCAACTTGGATTCATTCCAAGAAGGCAGGGATGTTTCAGTACATGAAAATTAACAAATTTAAATGTCATAGCAACACAGTCAAAAACTAAAGTCACATGGTGATCATCTCAATAAATGCACAATAAGCTTTTGCTAAAGTCAAGCACTGATTTGTGATAAAAACCCTACAGTAAATAACAACAAATGACCTTTACCTAAAGCTGATAAAATCAAACAATGACAGGGGCTGGGAATTTAGCTCAGTGGCATAAGCACCTGCCTTGCAGTTGTGTGGTCATGAGTATGATCAACAGTACCGATAAAAAAGAAAAAGACAAAAAAAAAATATCAGACAATGACAAAGAAAATGCAGCATCATAGTAAATGGAGAATAACTGAAAACTTTCATTCTACAGTTATGAAATGGACACAGATGACTACTATGACCACTTCTGTTTAATATAGCTCTGGAAACAGAACAATTAGATAAAAGAGAGAAATCAGAATAAGTATATAATAGAAAGTAGTTAAACTATTATTGTTCACAGATGATATGATATAGTAAATAGAAGATGCCAAAAACTTGACCAAAACAGTCCTAGAGTTAATAACCAAATTCAATAATATAGCTGGAGACAAAGTTGACAATCAAAAATCAGTAGCATTCTTGTACACAACCAGCAAACTCACCAAGAGAGAAGTTACAGAAACCACACCATTTAAAATAGCCTCCAAGTAAATGAAATACTTGGAAAGAACCTAACAAAGAAAGCAAAGGACTTACATAATGAAAATTATAGTACTTTGGAAAAGGATATTGAAGAGACTATCAGAAAATAGAAAAATATCCCCTGCCCATTCTGTGCATTGTCTTTTCACTCTTTTAGTGCTTTCTTTTGATGTACAAATATTTTTTAATAAGATAGGGTCCTGGTGGTTGATTCTTTAAAATTTTTATTTTGTTCACGAAGCCTCATTAGTGTTTCTGTTTTAATATTTAGATCTTTGATCTAGTTTGACTTATATTTATTTCATGGTGATAGAAATGTCTCCCGTTTAAGTCTTCAGTATGAAGAAAGTCATTTTCTTCAGGACCATTTATTGAAGAGGCTGTCCCTCTTCCACCGAACATATTTAGCTCCTTTGTCAAAGACAAGGTAGCAGAGTGTGTTTGTAGTTCTATTTGCATTTTCTAGTCCTTTTATCAGGTCATTTTTCTGCCAGAACTATGCTGATTTTCTGATAGTAGCTTTCTAGTATAATAGCAAGTCAGGAATTGTGATGCTTCCTGACTTGCCTTTGTTGCCCAGCAATGTCTTTTGCGATCTAGAGCATTTCTGTTTCCAAATGAATTTTAGAAATGTTTTCTGTACATTTGTGAGCTATCTTAATCGTAGTTTGGTAGGCAATGCATTACATCTATATGACAGTTTGCAATATGATTTTTTGAGTTTTCTCCATATCCTTGAAGGTAGTTTTACTGGTCTCTTATACTCACCAGATGAAACCTAACAGGTATGATTCTAAGAGTTTCAAACTGTTGAGTTCTTCTTCCCAAGGATATCCACAATAATATGATTTTTTTTCTGTTTGTTTGAGACAGGATTTCCCTATGCAGTTCAGGCTGACTGTGAACTCACTTCTTGGTCCAGTTAACTTAAACCGATTGTCCTACTTCAGCCTCTTAAGTCCTGGGATTACAGGTGTGAAACTAACGCTTGAAAAAATTACTGGTGTTATTTGAAACATGAAGAAACAGTCATGAGATACACATGTATTCATTAACTGCCATTCCCTTAAAGGAAAAGTGTCCAATTTAATACATAACATAATTGGAGTGCAGGGAATCACAAGATGTGTTTCTATCTCTTATGGGCTGGGGATGCCAGGCTAGACTACTGCAGAAACAGGAGATGTCACAGGTAGGAATATGAATCAAATGTGAGCATTAGTATTAAGAACTGAGAGAGTCTTGTATTTAAGGATGATGAAGAAAAGACCAGTGAAAAGCAATGAGAGACCTGGTGAGCTTAGCTTGTCCTGACTTTAGATCATGCTTTATTATAAGAATGAATATCACAAATTATGAAATATTCAAACATTATGTGCTTTTTACCCTAGAAAATATTGAGGCTTGGCACTGAGGCTCAGCTGTTTTGCAGCTTGGCATAACATGCCATTTTGTACCCTGCATTTATCTAGTGCCTTGTATTTGACCCAGGAAAATTAAAAATCACTCAGGGTATAAGTTCCATGAGAAAAGCAAAAGGAGCTGTACCCAAAGAAAAAAAAGTAACCTGCTAAAAAAAGAAGCAGGATACAGGTGTCAAATAAAAATTCATTTAAGATTCTAGCTAAATTGTTTCCAAACAGGATGTCTTTTGTGATTCTCTCTTTTAAAAATGCTTAACTTTCTAGTTCAGGGCCACTTGTTTGGATTCTGAAATGGGGAAGCGGGTCTGTATACAAGTGGTGGATTCTGATCTCAGCTACTTAAATTCCAACTTTATACTTTGGATGCTTGAATTCCTCCTGCATTGTTAACAAACTCTGCTCAAGATGCAGAAAGATTTACTGACACAAGCAAACATCTGGTTTAAATGTCAGTGCCCCTGAAATGAAAGAATAATAGTGAAAAGGAATGAAGAAAATGACAAACACCATGTTTTATGATGCCCACCTCTTTTCCACAGCATTAAAGAGGCTGAAACAGGAGAATGGCCATGTATTCAAGGCCAACCTAAGCTACATGGTGACTGAAAGTCCAGCCAGAACTACAAAGTGAGATTACATCTTTAAAAACAAAAAATAAAAATGAAAAATATAAAAAAAAAAAACCAAGGGAGACAGAAAGACTGTTAAAGGAAAACAAAAACAATAGAGCTGACTGAAAGCTGACATAAATTGGCAATTATGGAATGATGCTGCAGAGGAAAGCTGGCCATGTAGTAGCATCTGGGCAGCAGTGACAAATAGAGTTAGAAATGGTGCCTATAGTGCTACAGCACAACAGTGATATCCTTCCTCCAATAAATCTGCAATTTGCTAGAATGAAGCGGTCCAAAAGCTCATGGAAATCTTAAACTCACAGCAAGCAAGTAGCTTCACACAAAGGCTTTGGAACATGGCCTTTAGCAGATATTTCATATTCAAATTGAAATAGGACAAGTACAATCCTGCCCTGTTTGTTGTCAAATGCACCAAGTTGGTTGGCTCACAACACTGAGGAATGAAGTCACAAACCAAAAGAAGTTCAGAAAGTTTTCTGGGAAAAAAGACAGAAGAATAGCCCTGGATTTTCAGGAATGTTCTTCAGTGTTTAAGTCACAGACCTATTGTCAGGGGTCATTTATACAGGAAAGTCACAATGTGGGTACAGTGTGGGTCTCAAACTACAATCAACCTCTAAGCTTATAGCTGCTTCACTAATATTATTCATCAGGGGAACAAAGTCCACCAGAAAAGGTATGTTGAAAGAGCCAAGGCATTTGGTGGGAACAATAGTCCAGTTGTTCTGGTCATTGAGTATGGTAATTGAGGCCCATCAGGATTTCCTGGAGGAGGTGGTGGTAACTGTAGTATGTTTCAATCTGTTATTTTTCTCTTCAGGAGGCATGTAGACATTGTCATTACATCTTCACCTTCTGGCTTTCTTCAGTTGTGCCTCTAGCAGGAATTGTCGTGTTTAGGTTTTTGCACTGCCTCTTTTGAGGTTCCATTTCCTCTCTGACAGTGTATCAATTCCTGTCTACTTTGACCTCCTCTAGTAAAATAGCAGTACTATTTGAATGGATAAAGTAATGTTTATACATTTAATAAAATATTATTTAATGGGGCCTGGGATTTAGCTCAGCAGACAGAAGCACCTGCCTGGGAAGTGCTAGGTTGTGAGTTTGATCCCGGTACCTAAAAAAAAGTCTTAAACTGCAATGAAAGAAAAGAATTTCATTTGTCAAGATATAGATTAACAAGATTTTAAATTAAATTTGTCACTGGGAAATTAAACATTGGTAATAGTCATATTTGGAATCTAAAGATGTTGGGCTGGGTATTGAGCTCAGTGGTCAAAGCACCTGCCTGACAAGAACAAGGTCAGGAGTTCAATCTCTGGTACCAAAGAAAAATCTACAGTTGTCAACCACCATGTAGTGCTATGAGCACAACTATTGAAATTGATAGTTGTTCATTAAAATTCTCAATGTTTCTTTTGTCATCTACGAAGTACCTACAAATAACATGGTAACTACAGTGAATAATACACTGTGCACTATACCATGGCTATTTGCTGAGAGCTGCTTTTATTTATTCCCCACGTAGTTGAAAGCTGAAAATGATTAGTGATGATAGAGAAACTGTGATAATAATTTTTCAATTTTATCGGATATTTCACTGCATCCATTAAGTGCATTTTATTTGCTACAATTGTGCTTAGTAAAGTAAATAATTCTTAATGTTACAGGCAGCTGTGTTAGAAATATAGGCAGTCAGGGGCTGGGGATTTAGCTCAGTGGCCTTGCAAGTGCCTGCCTTGCAAGCAGGCAGACCTAAGTTTGATCCCCGGTACTGATAAAAAAGCAAAAAGACAAAGAAAAAAAATGTAGAAATATAGGCATTCAGATAGTGATATAATGGAATGAAACTCCTGACCTACTATGTCTGGTAGAAATTTGTGTTCTATAAAATAGAAGAATGAATTTTAGGAACAGAGGAGGTAAAGAGCAGAGAAAAAAGTGAAAGGTTTTTGCTCTAGATAGGATATTACAGCAGTGGGAAGCAGGCCAGGGAACATTTACCCTGAAGTCACTTACCCCTCCCTCAGGCAACTTACCTGTGGCATGAAAAGAGTCCCACTCAGCTACGGGCACATCAGCAATCCATCTTTAAGCACCACCCCAAGGAAAAAGTAGATATAATCCCCCTAACCATCGATCCAGCAGAAAAAGGCAGATGACTAGCGGTCAAGGTGGTACTCTCTACCGTCTTAGAATAAAGGCCATTTTTACTTTATGTTCTCTCCTTTACCACAATGAAAACCCTATCAGAAAGCTTCTGTCTGAGAAAACTGGAGGGGTCATAAGTGGGTTGTCAAGGACTCTGTATATTCTAGGGACTTTGTAGAATAAAATCATGGGGTGAGATGGGTTTAAGGTGGGGAAAATTGGGAACTCACAAGGCAGATGGACAGAGCTATGTTTAGCCAATATAATTAATTGTTCTGGTAAAATCATTTACACTGCAGACAAATGCGGAAGTGAGGTCATAGAAAGCAGGCATTTTACAGAGCAGTAACTCTCCTCTATGGGACTGGGAGGGTGACTCCTGACTTCAGCAGGGTGACAGGGAACTATTTAGAAAATCAATTTTTAGGATATAGATGAATTTGCTTGGTATTTTCTCTTGAGGCCTGTCCCGTAACAGGAGGTATCTGTCTCCCATAGCTGCAAGGTATGTGGGCTTCTGAGCTGGCCACTTCTAGGACCTGATCCGGTCTCCCTGGGTATATATTTCTAACTAACTCAGCTGCCTATAACACCAGGGTTTGCCCCTCAAGGAGCCAGAAAATAAGTTCAGATTGGTTAACAGGATTGGAAGAGACAATCACCTCCTGCTGTGGGCCAAATCTCAAAACAAAAGGTAAATTAAATACAACCAAGTGCTAAGGATCAACAGCCCAAATAGTTCTCTGATCACCCTGAGGAACACAAGAGTCCCCATCCCAACCCTCTACAAGAAGAGTCTCTGCTCTTAAACCTGCCCACTTACTATGACTTGCTCTCTCATTTGCTCCCAATTTAATCAATTTTACTTGAGCAATTAACCTTATTGGCTGACCACATTTCTACTCTGCCTTATGGTTAACTTTCAGATTCCCATTTTTCCCCTCCCCTGGACCCATCTAACCTCATGATTTAACTCTATACAATTTCCTCAAACAGACAGTCTTTGACAACCCACTCAGACCCTTCCTGTCTCTCAGACAGAAGCTTTCTTTCTCCCACTAAATATATTCCACTCTTAAACTCCATCGTTCCTAAAATTCATTCTTCAATTTTAGAGAACACAAACTCATACTGGATATATAGTAGGTAAGGAGTTTCATTCCCCTATACCATTAACATGGCCAAATTAACATGACTATACTTTTAGAATGTCTGAAATTTGTTCCTTTTCCTGCAGTTTCAAGTGATTAATACAACTCACAGTGATTATAGTCCTGGCAATATCTAAAATTGTTTACAACAGTCATTTTAAGTTTAAAATAATTGCTGTGATTGTATTATTTATCAAGACATAGACTTTGCCATGGCACTAGATTATATCTTACAAAAGAGAAGGTTCACCTATAATTGTTCAGAAAAATTTCTATGTTACTGCTTGCTTGAACAATTTTTAATTAGAAAAACTGTATTTTTTCAGTTTCTAGAAGGCTTCTATTATATTATTGAAAGCTATCTGTAGGCCTCTAGGACCTTGATTATATTTTGATGCATAATTCTGTTTTGAAACTTGTATGAAGATTTATTTTTATCTTAGGAGTAAACTCACTGCATTGACACTGATAGAGTGAAGCAAAAGCCCACTGCATTAATTTCCATTGGACACTCGTGGCATAGAGCATGTGAATTACTGAGGAGGTAAATTAGCTTCGTACATAAACAAGAATCAGTACTGTTATGATTTTGTGGCCCAATAGAGTAGCACAATAATAGGATTATTTCCAAAAGATGAGAAGTATAAAACAAAAAGAGGCCTTTATTCTTAGAACATGGAGAGAAATGACTGGCATCCCCCACTGCTGGAGTCCCGTAATCTCTCTGGCGGACACGTGGGGTGGGTGTATGTAAGTAGCCTCGGTTTGGGGTGGAACCTAAGGAGGGCATTAGGGATGCACAGGTAGCCCATTGGTCCTAGGTTTTGTGCCATAGGTAAATTTCCAGGGGCGGGAAGATGGCCTCACAGGTAAATTCCTAGAGGTGGGGAGATAGGGGCTTCCTGCTTCCTGTTGAGGCTTTCCTGGCTACAGAGTCCTATCTAGGCCAAAACCCTTTCACAGAATATAAGAAAAAGTAGAAGTGTCCTTTCTATTTAAAGAATGTGGAGAGGAGCCTAAAGCCACCAAGGGTTTGCCTTTTTTTTTCTGACTGATTATGGGATTACAGGGTATATATGAAATTTGGGGGTGCTGGCACTGACATTGATATCATGTAAGGAGCTGATTGGAATTTTCTTTTGGCCCCTGGGAAAGGAATGAGGAAGTTGTATTCAGGGAAAAACAAGGAAGTAGCCATATGGGTAAGCATCCCTTATTTGACCTTTCACACTGATGAACTACCACCATGATGTCCTGTGACTTATTCTAGGGCAAAACACTTTCGAGTACATCCTTCACTTTGAAGAAATGAAAATAAAGTATTTTTGCTACATGTCTTCTTCCATGGTTAGTGGTAAACAATTCAAAAGGAAAGTTTCCAGTCATTTCCTTACTGCATTGTAGATAGCATAAACAAAACTACAGATCAGTTCACTTTCAGAAAACAGAAGCAGCACTAAAAGGCAGGGATAAAGCCTTTCAATGCAAATGTCCCTTAAGAGGTGAAATCAACATTTAGAGTTACAATCATCTACTGATATCTCTGACTTCAAGAAAGAAAAATTTACACTGTTATTGCTATAGGGTAATGAAACTCCAGGTCTACTATGTCTGGTTTGAGTTTGTGTTTTCTGAAGTCAAAAAATGAATTTTAGAAAAAACAGATGTCAAGATAATATAATTATTGGGAGAAAGAAAGCTGTGTGAGAGAGAGCAAATGCATCCTGACTGGGTTGGCAAAGACTGTCTTTTCCAAGGACTTTTATAGAGTAAAATCAAATCATGTGGTGAGGTGGGTGGAAGGTTGGGAAAACTGGGAACTCACAATGCAGATGGGCATAAGATGGGACAGAGCTATGGTAGCCAATAAGATTAATAGTTCAGGTAATGTTGATTAAATTGGGAACAAGGGGGGAAGGGAGTCACATAGAAAGCAGGCATTCCTAGGAGCAGTAAATATTCCCTTAGGGGTTTGGGAGGGTTACTCCTTATTCATCAGGATGATAGGAACTATTTAGAATGTCAGTCTTTAGGATAAGGATACATTTCCTTGAATGGTGACTCCTGACTTCTTCAGAGTGCTAGGGAACTATTTAGAGTATCAGTCCATAGGATATGGATGAATTAGTTGATCTTCTGTCTTGAGGCTTACCCATAGCAGGAGTTGTCCATCTTTTCCATAGTTGCAATGTATCTGGGTTTCTGGATGGGCTCCTCAGAGGACCTAGCCCTGTCTCATTGCTAATCATAATTAACTAACTCAGCTCCACATAACAGTACTTTTAGGAAAATTGAATACAGATGTATTGTGCTCTGGGGATGACAGTGCGCAATGTATATACCAGTGTTGCTCCCTGATTCACATGTTTTGAAATTTAGTTTTAGTTCATTTTTTCTTTTTATCCTTGAAATGAAATGGATTTGGAAATGAAAATTGTGAGGTAAGGTAATTTGGTACACATATTCCTCTGTGTAGCTGAGATCAATACTGTTGAAGACAACAAGCTACAGAAGTCTCTGACTACTGTCTATCATTTGGGATCCTCTCTTGCAGGAAAGAGTTCCTTTCCCTTTTTATTTTTGACTCAGAAGGAGGGCAGTAGAGCAGCAGTCAATCAGTGATGAAGAGGTGGGCTATATGAAATGTCCAATCAGGCGAGACATGGCAGGAAGTCTCTTGGGTCTCTTCCCTTGTTTAGGAATTATTTACCTGTTTGAAGCACAAAACTTGGAGCAGAATGCTTGCTGGATCTCATTTACTGGTTTCGATGTCCTGTGGCCTGTTTGGCAAAGAACATGGGAGAACCTGTAGCCACAGAATGGTGAGGCTTTGGATGGCAGCCCAGAAATAGGGTGGAATTGGGAGAAGCCAGTTACAAGTGGTTAGAAGCAGTTCTGGTGTCTGTAGACTCAGGTATTTAGTTAGCTTCAGCTCCTGAGGTCTTCTAGCATTGGCCTTGGGTCATCCACTTTCCCTTTTTTCTCCTGCTGGGAGCAAGGATGATTCTGTGTCCCCAGAACTCTGAATTAACTATGATAGCAACAGACTGGAGGATCATCTTTGAAATTTTCTACTGCCCTGGCACCTCCACCATAGGGAGCAGAGGAAGGAGCTTGGGAAGCCCCTGACTCTGATGCATTTTGTAGCTGGAGCAGCAGGTGAGCTTGGTCTCTGCTCTCATTCCAGAGATCAGCAATATTGATGTTCTAAAGTTTATAAATGTATGTAATGCAGGGCCTCACAACGGAACTTCTTAAACTTGTACTTTTTTGTATTTGTAAGGATTGCCTAAATTTATGGTATGTTCTCACATTTCCAACTTAATGATAGGTGTTGGCAAGACCACGAGAATTCAGAGATGTGTAGTGATGTGTCTCAGTGGAGGAAGGCTTTCCAAACACCTGGTGAACTCCTGTGTACTATAAATAACAGTGCAAAGAATTTCTGAACATACTTTATGTGACACATGTGATCATAGACTATGCTTGTGAGAACAGCCATAGAGGTTTGAATTTTGAGAAAAATGAAGCAGATATAAAAGTGTCATCAAGGGCACGGTAAAGTGTGCCTGCTAAGGACAGATTCCAGAAAGAGCTGCCTGTTAAATTCTCACTGAGAAATGCCTAAATGTAGTCATTTGCATGAACATATATACATGTGATATCCTTCTGAATGGAAAGGAATATGGGTGTCATCTCTGAATTAAGAGCTGATTTAATAGCTTTGTTGATCATATACATTGTTTAAATATGGAAATGCTCTGTAATGGACTTTACTAATTCGTGTAAAGGAGATGCCTTAAATTGAAATTGTGTAGGAATATCAATAGTCTAGGCATGAAGGGTTTTCTACTTAGGGTGGATCAGACGATTATGGAAAGTATGTGGAAGTGACCAGCAGGACACAGTGTGCAAATAGCAGGACATACAACAGAGGGGGTCTTCACTAAAAGTCAGGTATTTCTTAGGGTAAGCATGAAGTTAAAGTTGGCTTATGATATCTTCCTTGAGGTGAATAACAACAGCTCTGGTAACAATCAGTATTCCACATCCCTGTCAACCCATGAGTTCTCTGTTATTCACTTGAGATCTAGTTTTGATTGTCTCAAATTATGACCCAGTATCATGAAGGTGAAATTTGAATTTTTTTTTGTACCAAGGATCGAACTCATGATCTCAAGCTTTCCAGTTAGGTTTCATGCTGCTGAGCTAAATAACCAGCTCTGAAAGTGTTTTCTGTATATTATGGATGATATCAAGCTTGTTCCTCAAAAAATGTTGAATATTGTGGAATTTTTCTATATTGTATGGCTATAATTTTTTGAAGCAAACCAAAGGTGTCTTATGCAGTCACTTTTCAAGTTTTACATTGTCTGTGGGGTGTCTCAGTCAGGGTTTCTCTGTTTCAGACAGCTCTGTAACTTAGGCCAGCCCCAAACTCAAGCAGTTCTCCTGCATCAGCCTCCCGAGATATATTTCTTATATCTGAATGGAAAGTGATCACTTGTTGACACTGAGTTATAATTTGAAACTTGTACCTGGTTTCATTGTTTATACATTGTTTACATACAGCAGTTTTCCATGAACATTTGAGTTATTATTTATGTACCATATTTGATGTTATTTATGTTTTGTTCTGTGAAACCAAATTCAAATATCAAAATGCAGCTTAAGTATATTAAGAACAAAGGACTCTGTGGCCTAACTGATTAGAAGAGATACCATTTGTAGTACATCAAAGTGATTGATGAGATATTTGTCTGCCTCTGTGCTTTATGGATGCTGGTCTTGCAGGCTCTCACTATGAGCTCTGCATTAAAGACAGTGCACAGCGACTCTTGCAGTCATAAGAATAAGTGCATAAGCATCAGTGCTCCTATTTGGCTGTTACATTAGTTGTGCATTGCAATATAGCATGAAATTTACTGTCTCAAAAATGTGTATATAAAAAAATTAATCCCCAAAATACGGAATTCAGATTTGAAGAAATCAGTCTCCATTCAGCTGTTTCATTTGGTTTATTTGTTTAATTTAGTTTTGTTTTCTCTACGTATATCAGCTAGATTTGAACCCCTTATGGAGTGCAGAATTGCCCTAACCTCAAAGCAGCACTTCTGTGTCAGCCTCTTGAGTGCTGGGATTATAGATATGTGTGTTTTTACCCTAGAAAATATTGAGGCTTGTAACTTAGCTGTGTTGTAGCTTGGCATAGTAGATGTCATCTTGAGCTTTGCATTTAACTAGTGCCCTGTATTTCACCCAGAAAAATGGAAAATCACTCAGGGTAGAAGTCCCAGGAGAAAAGCAACATGAGCTGTACCCAAAGAAAAAAATTAACCTGCTCAACAAAAGAAGCAGAATACAGTTGTCATCCAAAACTTATTATAAGATTCTAGCTAAACGATTTCCAACAGGATCTTTTTTGTGATTCTATCTTTTAAAACATCTCTAACTTTCCAGTTCAAAGCCTCATGTTTAGATCTTGAAATGGAGGTGGGGGCTCTGTATACAAGCAGTCCTGAGACCAGCTAATAAAGTTCCACATTTATCAATTGGGTTGCTTGGCTTCCTATATTGTTGTTCACATACTCAACTCAAGCTGCCAAAACCGTTACTGACACAAGCAAACACCAGGGTTAAATGACAGTGCCACTGAAATGAAAGAATAAAAGAGAAAAGGAGAGGAGAAAATGGACAAATGCCATGTGTTATAATGCCCACCAATTTTCCCCAGCAATGAATAGGCTGAAACAGGTGAATGGCCATGTATTCAAAGACAGGCTAACCTACATAGTGAGTGCAAGGCGGGGCGGAACTCCAAAGTGAGATTATGTCTTTAAATCAAAAAACTAAAGTGAAAAAAATAAACAACCAAGGAGACGGAAGGACTATTTAAAAAAAAAAAAACAATAATAGGGCTGAGTGAAAGTTGACTTATGCAAAATGGGAATTATTGAATGATGATGCAGAGGAAGGAAGGCCATGGAGTGACATCCAGGAGGCAGTGACAAACACAGACTTAGGAATGGTACCTATTGTGCTACAGCACAACAGTGACCTCCTTCCTCCAATACATTTGCAGTTCACTAGACTGAGGACTTCTCAAAGTTCATGGAAATGTTAAGCTCATGGCAAACAAGCAGCTTGAAATCCAGGCTTTAGAATATGGCCTTTAGCAGACATTTCATATTTAAATTGAAATAAGAGAAATATAATCCTGCCCTGTTTTATGTCAAATGCACCAAGTTTAATTGCTCACAACATTGAGAAAGGAAGTCACAAACCAAAAGAAGTTAAAAAATTTTCTTAGAAATAAAGAGAGAAGAATAGCCCTGAATTTTCAAGAGTGGTCTTCAGTGTTTTGGCCACAGACCTATTGTCAGGGGTCATTTATACAGGAAAGTCACAATGTGAGTACAGTGTGTGTCTCAGACTACAATCAACCTATAAGCTTATAGCTGCTTACCAATATTATTCATCAGGGGAACAAGTCAGTCAGAAAAGGTATGTGGAAAAAGCCAAGGCATTTTGTCGAACAATAGTCCAGTTGTTCTGGTCATTGAGTATGGTAATTGATGCCTATCAGGACTTCCTGGAGGAGGTGGTGGTAACTGTAGTACATTTCAAAGGTGCTGTTTTTCTCTTCAGCAGCATGTAGACCTGGTCACTGCATCTTCACCTTCAGTTCTGGTTTTCTTCAGCTGTGCCTGTAGCAGTGATTGTGGGAGTTAGTTTTTTACATTGACTCTTTGAGGTTCCAGTTTCTCTCTGATTGTATATCAATTTCTGTCTACATTGACATCCTTTGCTAAAATCACAATACTATTTGAATGAATAAAGTGATGTTTATACATTTAAAAATATTCATTAATACAGGCCAGGGATTTAGCTCAGCAGGCAGAAACCCCTGCCTGGAAACTGCTAGGTTGTAACTTTGATCCCTGGTACCTATAAACAAAAGTAATTTGAACTGCAAGGAAGGAAAATAATTTCATTTGTGAAAATGTAAATTTACAAAATTTATAACTAAGTATGTCAATGGCAAATTAAACATTGTTTATAGTCATATTTAGTATCTAAATTTGTTGGGGCTGGTGATTGAGCACAATGATATAAGGAGCTGCCTGGAGAGCACAAGGTCATGAGTTCAATCCCTCATACAAAAATAATTCACAGTTGTCAATGATGCAGTGCTATGAGTACATTTTTTGAAACTGATACTTTTTAACTAATAGGCTCAATGTTTCTTTTGTGGTCTATGACATACTTGCAGATAACATGGCAATTACAGTGAATGATGTACTGTCCCCTATAGGTTGCTATATTCTGAGTTGTTTTTATTTTTTGTTTTCCCACATACTTGAAAATTGAAAATGTTGGCTGATGCTAGCTAGAAAAACTGTGATAATCATTTTTTTCAATTTAATGATATATTTTCTTATATCCATTAAGAATATTTTATTTGCTACAATTACTCCAAGTCAAATTGATAAACAATTCTTAAAGTTACAGTCAGCTGAGTTAGTTAGAAATACAGGCAGTCATATTGTGATATAGTGGGATGAAATTCCTGACCTTCTATATCTGGTATGAGTTTGTGTTCTCTAAAATGCAAGAATGAATTTTAGGAACAACAGATTTGAAGAGCAGAATATATTTATTGAGAGAAAGAAAGTGAAAGTTTTGGGCTCTAAATAAGATATTTTGGAAGTGGGAGGAGGAAGCAGGGCACTTTTACCTTGAAGTTACTTTCTTCTCCACTATTCAACCTACCTGTGGCCAGAAAAGAATCTCGATCAGCTACTTGCATATCAGCAATGCCACATTTAAGCACCATCCAAGTCAATCACTATATGTATGCCACCCACACATTTCCAGACGAAAAAGCCAGACCCCCAGTGGTCATGGGATTCTCCCCATATTCTTAGAATAAAGGCCATTTTGATTTTATATTGTCTTCTTTACTACACCAAAAATCCTATCAGAAAGCTTCTGTCTGAGAGAAACAGGAAGGATTCTGAGCCCGTAGCAAAGGACTCTGGCTTTTCTAGGGACTTTATAGAATAAAATCATGTTGTGAGATAGGTTTAAAGTGGGTTAGATTACTGAGGTAACTGAGGAGGTAAATTAGCACAATAGAGAAGCAGAATATAAGAAATGTTAAAGTGGCCTTTTATTTAAATAATGTGGTGAGGAGCCCACAGCCACCAAGGGTGTGGCTGTTTTTTTTCCCCCCCGACTGACTATTGGGATATGGGGTATATGTGACTTTTGAATGGATGTTGTGCTTGGAGGGGACATTGATGTCATGCCAAGAGCTGATGGGAGTTTTCTCTAGGCCTCTGGGAAAGAAAGAGGAAGTGGTAATCAAGGAGAAAAGAGGAAGTGGCCATATGAGTAAGCATCCCTGCCAAAATTACAGATCAGTTCACTTTCAGAAAAAGAAGCAGCATTTAAAGGCAGGGATAAACCCTTCAATGCAAGTATCCCTGGCAAGGTGAGATCAACATGGTGTGATACAAACAACTACTGATTTCTCTGACTTCACAAAAGAGAAAAGTTTGTACTGATATTGCTATAGCAGAATGAATCTCCCGGTCTACTATGTCTTATATGAGGTTTTTGTTCTGTAAAGTCAAAGAATGAATTTTAGGAACAACAGAGATTAAGAGAAGAATATACTTATTGAGAGAAAGAAAGCTGCCTGAGAGAGAGAAGGTGTCCTGAGCAGGTTGCCAAACACTGTCCATTCTAGGGACCTTTATAGAGTAAAATCATGTGATGAAATAAGTTTTAGGTGGGGAAAACTAGGAACTCACAATGCTGATGGGCATAAGATGGGACAGAGCTATGGTAGCTAATAAGATTATAAATTCAGGTAAAGTTGATTTAATTGGGAACAAAGGGGGAATGGAGTCACACAGAAGCAGGCATTATTAGGCAGCTGTGACTTCCCTTAGGGGTTTGCGAGGGTGACTCCTGACTTCATGATAAAAACTATTTAGAATATCATTCTTTAGGATAAGGATTCATTTCTTTGAATGGTGACTCCTGACTTCCTCAGAGTGCTAGAAAACTATTTAGAATATCAATCCTTAGGATATGGATGAATTAGCTTATCATTTGTCTTGAGCCTTGGCCCATAGCATGAGGTGTCAGTCTTCCCCATAGTTGGAAGGTATCTGGTTCCTGCATGAGCTCCTTTGGGGACCTAACCCTGTCTCATGCCAATAGTATTTATATAACTCAGGTACCTATAACAGTACTGTTTGGAAACTTGATTACAGATGTCTGGTGGTCTGGGTGAATGATCTGGTGATGACAATGTGCAATATATATACCAGTGTTGCCCCCTGATTAACATGTTTTAAAATTTAATTTTAATTGATGTGTTCTTTTTTCCTTGAAAAAAAATGGATTTGAAAATTAAAAGCCTGAGGTAAAGCTCTTTAGTACAAACACTCCTCTGTTGAGCTGAGTTCACCACTGTAGAAGAATGGCAGCTCCAGAAGTCTCTGCACTACAGTCTATCATTTGGGGTCCTCTGTCACCAGCCTCCCAAGATATATTTCTTATATCTGAATTGAAAGTGATCACTTGGTGACAGTGAGCTATAATTTACAGCTTGGGCCTGGTTTCATTTTTTATACATATTTTGAAAATATAGCTGTTTTCCACTAACATTTCAGTTATTATTTATGTACCATATTTGGTGTTATTTATGTTTTGTTCTATGAATCCAAATTCATATTTCAAAATGCTGCTTAACTATATTAAGAACAAAGTACTCACTGGCCTAAATGAGATTTGAAGATACATCATCTGCAGTCTATCAAAGTGACTGATGAGACTTTTTTTCTTTTTTTAAATTTTGAAATAGGTAAAATACAACAGAACAAGGCAGAATAAGACCAACTAAGATCATACAGTGAAATTGGTATACAACTTCACTACAGGTTACTGGGGTAACAGAAATAGGTATCACAGTATATTTCGTTATCTTTATAATAGTTTTTCTTTTAAACACGTATATCAAAATGAGATGAAATACAGAACATAGAACTTATCAAAACAGAATATGGAATAGAGCACTACCATTAATCAGAATAGAGCCAAACAGTAATAAAAATATTTGCCTTCAAAGAGATAGTAGAAGGAAGTCCCCCTTATTTGGTCAACTTCCAAGGAGATGCTCAGATTTCTGGTTCATTTGCTAATGGGGGTAGGGGGGTGGGGTTATGACAGGATAGAGGAGTTGGGGAAATGGGATATTTGACTCTAGGTGGTGCATCAGTAGGTTCACTATTGCTTAGTAGGGAGACAGGCTGGTGCTTGGTTTCACAGCGTCCTAAGTTCCAATAATGCATGGATCTCAGGAGCTAATGCTGGTTATCCCCTGGAAGGGCTGCAGTTTGCCAGACTGCCACCACTCACCAGGGAGTGGTGGTGCTTGCTTGGCTTCCCAGTGTCCTAAGTTCCAACATGGCATGGATCTCAGGAGCTGCTGCTTGTTCTCCCCTGGAAGGGCTGCAGTCTGCCAAACCACCACCGCTGACCAGGGAGAGGAATTGCTTGCTTAGCTTCCAAGTCGATTGATGAGATATTTATCTGCCTATGTGCTTTGTGGTTGCTGGTCCTACAGGCTTCTCACTGTGAGGTCTACTTTAGAGACAGTGCACAGGGAATCTTGCAGTGACTCTGCACAAGAATCAGTGCTCCTATTTGCCTGTTATATTAGCAGTGAGTTGAAATCTAGCATCAAATTTGCTGTCTTCAAAAATGTGTATATACACAAAATTAATGACAAACACATGGATTTAAATTTGAAGAAATCAGTCTTCATTCAGCTATATTTTTGGTTTTATTAGTTTAGTTTAGTTTTGTTTTATAGAGAGAAGCTTTCTGTATGTATATCAGCTGGATTTGAACACCCTATGGAGCTTAGAATTGCCCTGACCTCACCGAAGCCGTCCTGTCTCAGTCTTTTGAGTGCTGGGATTGTAGATATGGACCACCACACTTTGCTTTTGAATCAGATTTGTAGGAGAGAGTTTAAGATATACCAAATCTGGGGTCTCAATCTTCCTTTGAGGAATATATGAATGATCCTTCAGCGGGGGTGAACTTTGAGGATGTGGTCGTGAATTTCAGCAATGAGAATTGGAGTTTGCTGATTCCATTGCAATAAAACCTCTACAAAGATGTGATGGGTGAAACTTTTAGGAACATGATTGCGATAGGTAAGGATGAAATCTTTTTGTCAGTCATGCTGTCCAAATATTGTTTGTTGCTCATCAGTGCTGTTTCATTAAAAAGAATGTGAAAATATTTTAAAAACTATCTCAGATTTGGACATGTTATATCATATATTTAAACAAAACCTATTAATTTGTATGTATTACTCAACTGAGTCCTGGTATTTCTATGTCTACAATTCAGGAGGACTTGGGGATATCCAGGAAGCTGAAAAAGAATGCAAAATTTACTGTAGATACTTAAGGTAATCCACACTCACAAGGAGAAGGAATGTTCCTGAGTAATTAGTGAGTCAGCAGAAAAATGACCACTATTCAATTAAATGTCAGTAATATTCTCCGAAGATGTATAAACTAGGTATGTATAATGAGTGAATTAAATCATAGAAATGTATGACATTGCATGTAGATGTATACGAAAGGCATACACTTTGAGTTATGATATTCTGCCTTCAGTTTTTCTACTGATATATAATGTGAATGCAACATATTCATTATCTAAAAATTGCTGAGATTGCAATAGAATTTGAAATAAAACTGAGTGCTTGTGTTTCCAAGCCATGTTATAGAGAATCAGCCATTCTAATTAAAATTCTTTGTAGGCTGGTGGAATATTAGCGCACTCATTTTGAATATCAGTATGCAGTTGTCTCTGGAAATTGATCCCCTCATACTTTTCCTGGATATAGTTTTAAAATCTCAAAATCCGCATAAAATACTGATACAGGCTTACTCATATACAAAGCAGATCAAGTTATAATAGATCAGGCCTTGAAGAAGCTTAGCTATCTATCACTGGATTTGTGAAGAAGGAAAATATTAATAGACTCTCTGTGATTGTGCATTCTTGTAAACCCAGCACACTATGAATAAGATTTTGCAGAATGGCAAATTCAAGTTCAAACTTCACAGCTTAATAATCAGTGAAAATCTCTTAAAACAGATTTTAAAAATCTATAGATTTTATGCTAATACCTGTTGTCCATTTCCAGCCTGGAAAAGAAAAAATGTGTTATATAATGTCAAAAAATAAATAATATAATGTCATTTGCCATAAGAAAGAGGTGGGCCTTTCACCCATCAATGGACTGAAATAACTCAGCTATAAAACCTAAAAGTTCACAGGGTTTCTTTTAGATAAGTAACCAAAATAAAAATTGTGGAATGAAGTGAAAGAGAGTTAATAGAGAAAAGTAAGACTGAACTACAGGTTAAGGACAGAAGGGTGATTGTGATGGGGAAACATATCAGAATGATCTGTCTGTGATACACATAAGTACCCATGACAGAAGAGAAGGTAAATATTCTGCATTTCAAAATGTACCACCTTTTGAGATTTACAAATGTGTACCAGTCTTTTGGGAATGGTTGTTTTCAACATATCTTACAAGGCCATTCTGTTGCTTCAAGGTCGGAATTTCTTAGCAGGCATTAAAAACAGAACTTGGCATTAATGCAGTCATTAAACAGAGACACATTTCACTGTGAATTTTTCTTTTTTTTAAATTTAATGTAAGGAAAGATTAAACAAAACAAAGTAAGTAGAAATAGTACTACTTTCAAAGTGAAAATGAACAGTAAGAAATCGCAAGAAGATGATTACATATGCTGTTCATAGAAATAGTTAATCAAATACAAAAGTGAAACATATGAAATAGGGATTCAAACAACAAGACTGCAAACAGTTTTGTTCAATTCTCCAACAAAAGCTTAGTAATATGGTTATCAATCCCATATGTGATTTTTTTTCTTTACAGAAATGTCAAGCTAAGGAAATCCTATGGACATACATCTTGGAATCAATGTAAAGAAGTATTCCTTTGTACTGAAGGAGGTAATGTGAATGTGAAAGAAACAGAAACACACCACAATGTTCAGATCCATGAAAAATATTGCAGTGGAGGGAAGCCCTATGTATGCGAGCAATGCGGGAAAGGTTTTACCACACATGGAATTTGTAAGAAACATGAAAGAATTCACAGAGGAGAAAGACCCTACATATGTAAGGAGTGTGGGAAAGCTTGTACAACACATACATATTGTCAAGTACATAAAAGTCTTCACTCCGGAGAAAAATGTTATAAATGTAAGCACTGTGTGAAAGCTTTCAGCACACGTGCTTATTGTGCAATACATGAAAAACTTCGCACTGGGTAGAAACTGTATATATGTAAGAAATGTGGGAAAGATTTTAGCAGTAACATTCATTGTCAAATATATGGAAATGTTCACACTGGAGAGAAACCCTATTTATGTAACAATGTGGGAAAGCTTTTTACAAACATGCATATTGTAAGTTTCATGAAAGAATTCACACTGGAGAGAGACCATATGTATGTAAGCAATGTGGGAAAGGTTTTAACACACGTGCACATTGTAAGGTTCATGAAAGAATTCACACTGGAGAGAAACCCTATGTATATAAGCAATGTGGAAAAGGTTTTACCAATTCTGGAAATTGTAAGCAACATGAACAAATTCACACTGGAGAGAAACCATCTGTATAATTAATGTGGGAAAGATTTACCCTACATGGACATTGTAAGCAACATGAATGTTCACACTCAAGATAAAACCAGTATATATAAGCATCATGAGAATGGTTTGAGCACACATACATATTGCATAATGCATGAAAAACTTCACACTGGGCAGAAAACTTATATATGTAAGGAATGTGGGAAAGGTTTCAGCAGAAATGCTCATTGTCCAATACATTATACAATTTACACTCTTGAGAAACCCTGTGTATGTGAAGAATGTGGGAAAGCTTTCACCACACATGGATACTGTAAAATACATCAATGACTTCACACTGGTGAGAAACCCTGTTTATATAACAATGTGGCAAAGCTTTTACCGCATACAGTCATTGCAAAACACATGAAGGAATTCACACTGGGAAGAAGCACTAGCTATGTAAGCAAATGGAGACACTTCAGCAGCCAGATTTTAAGTGAAATACGTGAAGAAACTTACACAAGAGATAAATCATATGTGTTATGGGAATACTCTCAGCACACATGATCATTGTTACATATCTGAAAGAGCTCACTGGGCAAGGATCCTGTGTGGATTATCAATGTGAGAAATACAGCAATGCAAGTTTGTTGTTAAATACATAGAAAAAGTGTCACTATTCAGACAGTTTAGATCTAAGTTTATTTTAAAAACCCCGAGGAGACCTGAAGAAATAATCAATACAGAAGTTTGATGTCAATATTTGTTCATAAATTTTCCAGAAACAACAAATCTGAGGTGGAGCTCTACTCAATCACTTGTACCTCTCTAGATTTTTTAAAGTGTCTTTGTGCTTCAACATGGCATCTTGTAATTAAACATGATAAACTGAAACGAGCTTTTCACTTTCAAGTATGTATAGTGTCTATGTACTTAATATTTTGTCTTTAAATCTTAATTTTTATATTTTGGTGAATTATGATGTTTATTTAAAGAAAAAACAAAAAGTGTAGAAATAATACAGAGTTTCAGAAAAATAAACAATAAGAAATCACTAGTTGATTAGTTACATATTGTCATCTTAGAAGTAGTTGTTCAAGTTACAGAATTAAAGCCTACAAAGTTATATTCAAATAATGACACTGCGAACAGTTCACCTCAATGATCCAACAAAAACTTATTAATATGCTTATCTGTCCTACACACTTGTTTTTTTCTTAAAGAGGGTAAGATTAAACATGACGAAACAGAAGACAACAGTTCATAAAGAAACAAGGTAAGGAAACAGATTTCAAAACAAGTCCACTGGAGATGTTCACTGTCTATCTTACTGTCTAGTTTTCTTCCAAATAGTTGTTCCCATTTTCACACACATTGAATATATACTGAACATTATAGAACTAATCAAATAATTACAGGATGATGCAAGATTTTTTCGGTCTTTAAGACTGATTTTGGGGACGTCAATAATGACTACCATAATGTCTGTCATTCTCTTTGTAGTAGATGTCTTTATCTTTATGTATGCTGAAACTGAACATAAGAGACTAGACTAATGTCACTCTGAACAGTGCATAGTAGTATTCAGAGAAGGAGAAGCATGAGGAATTGCCTAAAAGAAAAGGCAGAGGACACTGTTAAAAGTGTATCAGGATTTAAAAGCTACAGTAGTCTTATTGCTCTGTTTAGTTTGATTATATTTTGTTCTGGTCTGTTACTCATATTAGATTTGAGGGCACAGAGAGATAACCCAAAAATAGCAGGTTATACCATGGTAACTATCCTTAATTTCCAATTAACTTAAACTGAAAGCCTGTATTACTTACATTATCTTCTATGACTGATCTTATTTGAAACTGGTTTGTTTGAATGCTATTTGGCCTTGACTGTTTTTATTCACATTTGGTATGCTTGCTGGTATCAAGTCCAAGAGTAGAGGCAACTACTGTGAAGATGACAAGATGTAAAAGATATCTATTGGGGGGCTGGGGATTTAGCTCAGTGGTTTAAGCACCTACCTGGCAAGTGTGAGGTCGTGAGTTTGATCCCCAGTACCAAAAAAATAAATAAAAGATATCCATTCCAGGTTTGATTATTAACTGCTTTCACGTCCTACAATGTCTTCAAAGTTGTATTTTTATACAAATAGCTATGTAATGTTTTGCTGAACTATATAATGCCTGATGATGTGGACAATTCTATTGAAAAGAATAAGAGAAAGCATAGTAATACTGTACATCACCTCATATTGTGGTCTTATATATCTTTTACATATCATGATTTTCTAGGAATTGGTTTTGTTGTCTTGTTTTGATCTGTTTTTCCCCATAATACAGAAAAGATAGATATACACATAGAGATTCACACATGGGAGTAATTTCTAACCTATTTATGGGAACAAATAATATAATACACAATGTAATGAACAGATACTCTGAAGAAGAAGAGACACTAAGAAACCCAATGCTAATTCTGTAGCATTATGATATAAAATCGTGTAATACTATTATTCACTGTTCAGAGTGATATTAGTCTAGTCTCCTATTTTTTGGTGAATTATAATTTTAGCACAGATTTTGCTTTAATCTTTTGATGCACATGCTTCATTTTCTCTTTCATAAATGATGTTTCTGAAGTTGATGCAATCTTTGGCATTAAGATATACATTTATAGAGGCTTGGAGCATATGTTTTTGACAAAGTTGTGTTCTTTTCACATAAGTTGTACATTAATGTATGTTATGTTTTCCATGTTGTGATGAGACAAGATACCTGCTGATTTCCTAACATCACTGGATATCATACCATGCACATTATGTTGCCTGATTTTCTTTCTCAGTGGAGCCAATATTTGTCATTTAAGTAAACCTTTGTTTTTCTAACCATCAGAATTTTACCTGTTATGTTTATATTACATCTTTTCTTTGCTAGTAATGTTTCCCCACATGTACCAAAAGTGAACCATACTACTGTGAATTTCTGATTGCCACATACTGATAGAACCATAACTTGTCTCCAATAACATATCACAAAATGTATTAATGTCTCCAGAATTTATAAAATTTGGCTGATTTATGAGTAACCATACTTTGAAATCATTTTTTCTTACATGTGGAGTTGTTTTGGGGGAAAAGGTTGTTATTGGATATATCATGAAAATGCCTTTATTTTATTCCTTGATGCTGTGAATGCATTATACATTTTGTCATTATTACTGCTTTTTACTAAAACACTGAAGTAATGGCATAAAGGGAAACCTAAATTTTGAGCTGTCAACACAGTAAAAAGTATATTTGCAAATTAAGATTCAGATTGTGTTCTGTTTTACTAAATTGTGAATTTATACAATGGCATATTTTTTTATTTATAAGGACTAGTGCCCGATGTTTGTGGTGTGTGCCGATTATCTTTAAACACATATCTTTAAACACTGGGCCATAAGACCCAGTTGGTTTCCTGTGGCCTGTGGTTTTCACTTCCATTTTAACATTCATGTAATTTGTAAAGTGATACTGCAGTGTTGTTGAATAAAAAATCTGCTTAGGTTCCAATAGAATTCTGTTGTTAAAAACTGAGGTTTCATGCAAACACAAGTGAACATTGCATTAAATACCCCTAATCCAGTGAAGATGGCTTGCCCAAGTCTCAGTTATCATTGAGAAAATAAATTGCCTGTTGTGCAATCACCACTAAAATTATATCTATTTTGTACCTGAAGAACCTGATGTACTTCACAAAGTAAAAGATACTGTGAAGTACATTGTCAGCCTCTATGCGCTATAGCATGTGGCTGGATTCCCTGCAGCACATTTCTGTTTACCATCAATGGGAAAATTTGGAGTTTGTATTACAGCTAATAATAGTATACTGAATCTATAAGACATATATCCTGAGTACATGCACTTTCTCATTTTATCATGAAAGTAAGTCTTACTGGTCCTGTTGATGCATGCTTGTAATCCTAGCACTGCAGTTGGCTTAAATTAGTGGAAGAGGAAGTTGAGTCCAACGTACAAATTAGTGTGAACTTATCTCAACATATATCTTCAAGTTCTGCAGATGTAGCTTAATGCTTTAGATCTCCTCTCTTTCTGTGAGTATTTTTTAATGCTCACAATTACACATCATTAGTTGTCCTTTTATCACTTGGCCACCTAGCAGTTATCCCTGAGAATCACTTGGGAAGCACATTTGTTTATGCAGTTTATCCTGAGCATCATTGGGGTCAGTTGTCAATGTAACCCATTCATTCTTGAATACAGTATGAATACATTCATTCTATTGGCCTGTGTACAGTATGAATACATGCATTCTATTGAATACAGTAGAATTGTCACTTTTATATTCCTTGTTATTTTATAAAAACTAACAAAAAGTATGCAATTTTTGATCATTTTGTATTTAAATAATTGCATTGGTAAGGAGTTACCTATAAAGATTAGGCTAAAGGTGATTTCTTTAGTCCCAGCATCAGGAGAGAATGAGGTGGGATGATCTTGGCTTTGAAGCTGACTTTGGGAGGCAACTGCTAGATGATTTAGCAGAATGTGAAGCAAATTGTTTTTATCCCTGCATTTGAAGTTTAAGGAAACAAGTAAGTCAAGGTCAAGAATATAAATGTACAATAGGATAAAAGAATCACTACTGCAAATTGTGATTTTTCTTTCACTCAGGAAATGTACTTTTTTTGGTAATATGTGCAGCAGTCTCAAATATGCCTCTATTAGAGTAAAACATAGTGAAACAAGAAAGGACCAGACATTCCATGTTCTGAATGTAGAAGTATTAAAAAACAATTTTATTAATACTATTGCTGCTATTTTGTGTAGAAAATAAGGTAGGGTGACAAAACAAGCAAAAAGGACTTTGTAAGATTTTAATCCTCCTGCATGAACATATAAATCACAAAAAAAGTGAAACCAAAAGGATGAAGAAGTAAACTAAAGAATGAGAGAAATTTTGCCTGTTACTCCCTGACAGCTAACATGTAATACCAATAGGAACATAAAAGGAACACACATTTTTCAGAATATGTACAAATTGCCAAGAAATACCTGAAGAACTATTGAGCACTTTTGCACAATAGAGAAATGCAAATAGGGACATCATCTCATTGCAAAGAGAACTAATCACCACAAGATCTAAAGAACATTCATGAGACTAAAGGAGAAAAGGAACTGTTTAACCTTGTTGGTGGAAATGTAGGTAAGTAGTTCAACTACTACTGAAGTCAGTTTTTAAAGTATTCAAAAGACTAAAATTAGTAATTCTCATTAGTGCAGTGCTTCCTTTAGTGGGTCTCTTCCTCAAAGAGTTAAGGACATATTGCAGTGATGCATGCAGATTCCTGTTACTGCAGCAATAGTCATTTTCCTGTGAAGAGCAGCAGCAATCACTGCTCCATCACCACCAAATACCAATGATGAACAACAAATACTCACCAGTGTACTCCGTTTGATAAGTGATGTGATATTTTATTGTGAATTGTGCTGTAACTTAGGTTTTCCTAGTAGACTACAGGTCATCATAAATATGATAGTCATGCTAATGTCACAAGGCCATCACTAGGACACTATTACATTCATTAGATTTGATGTATTTATCTTTTTGAGGAAGCATGTTGCTATGAAGTTCAGACTGGCTTTGAGGTCACATTATAACCCAGAGTGGTCTCAAACAATTCTCCTTTCTCAGTGTCTCAAGTACTGGGCTCCACACAAGAGCCACCAAGCCTAGTTTAGAATTGGTATATTAAGTGCATATTCAGGATATTTTATTTCAACTCTTTTTGTTATTAAAGCATTTCCATATTTTACCTCCAGTGTCTGAATAAACATCGGCCTTATTGAGATGGTGATGTGCATACCACCAGCCTCCTGACATTCTCTGCTGGGTTCAGCTTCCAAGGACCTGCACCTGCCCAGGAGGATCTGCCCTCAAGGCGTGTCATCAGACCCAGTCACAATGTTGACTTAGGGCAGGAATTGTGTAGGGAGACTCATAGTGGTGGCCAGGCTTTAATGTACCTCTGCTGGACTCCGTGTGTCTGAGTGGCTGGTGGCTGAGTCTAGTGACACCTCTGGGCTCCCTCCTGCCTCTGGGCCCTGAAGGCTGGGGACAGTGAGCCCAGTTGTTTAATGCCCTTGTCTTTGGCATTTGCCAGCAATCATCCTGAAGGCTGTGGAATGAGTGAACCACTTTTTCAGTCATTCCCACATGTTCTACCTATGCGAGATCCTAAGGCTGGGGTCTTGTGTCCTGGGAAAGCAGCATAACATGCTCCCTGTTCACTCTCTAGAGCCAACTGTCTGTGAAGACAAATTCACCAGACCAACGTGCTTGCTGGCCTGAGCCTTCAGAGTTCTGTTTGGACCTGTCTCCAAGGAAGTAAGGTCATGCACTGGGGTCCAGAGTTTGGCCTTCCTCTGTGATATCACCTTTCTTTTTGTTGTGGAACAAATCTATGTCCTCCTTAGAAACAAGAAGTTAAAATGCTAGAAAAACTGTGTATACTTTTAGACTTTATTACACTTTGAAGATTTTAATGCAGCAAACATGTAGATGCTTCAGATGTGTCAGGCTGGGTGCCAAACACAAATTTCCATCCAAAGGGTCCATTGTCTCAGAGGATGAAGGACTCATTGTCTTCTGTTAAAGATTTGTCAAATGTTAGGATGACTTCCTTTCCTGGGCTTGTGTTAGTTTCCTTTCAGTTCCATTAGGGAGCAGAAAACCCATAATAATTTTACCAAAGAATGTGAAGATCTCATAACCCCCATGTGTCCAGGGGAGGAGGATTCATAGCCAGTTCTACTCTCACATGCTTATGAATGATTATT